GAACAGTCAAAACTATCATCCCGAGGTAGGGGGAAGCCCTGGGGAACTGTTTGCCCGAGGCCGCTAGGCCAAGGGCAAACAGTTTCACAGGGCTTCCCCCTACCGAGGGATAATAGTTTTGACTGTTCCCAAAATAACCATGAAACAATTGTTTTATTACCAAATAAATATTAGTATCAATGCTGCATGCAATGTTGCCATTGCTTCAACACTGAGTCACGGTCACCGAAACGCTTGAAGGGGGCTCTCGAGGGGGGATTCCTGCGCATCGAATTCGCGCCGGGACTGTAACAGTTCGCTCCGACCGGGAAAACAGTTTTGACTGTTTCACCCCAACAGCCGAAATTTGACAAAAGGCCAGAAACTGTCAAAAATGACAAATTATAATTTATATAGACTATTGGGAAATAAAGTACACTGTACACTGTACCTATATATATTTGACACTGTACACTGTACCTATATTTATTTGACACTTTACATTGTACCTATATATATTTGACACTGTACACTGTATCTATATATATTTGACACAGTACACTGTACCTATATATATTTGACACTGTACACTGTACCTATATATATTTGACACAGTACACTGTACCTATACATATTTGACACCGTACACAGTACCTATATATATATATTTGACACAGTACACTGTACCTATATATATTTGACACCGTACACAGTACCTGTATATATATATGACACAGTACACTGTACCTATATATATTTGACACTATACACTGTACCTATATATATTTTTTACACCGTACATTGTACTTATATATGTATTTGACACTGTACACTGTACCTATATATATGCGACACCGTACATTGTACCTTTATATTTTTGACTCTGCACACTGTACCTATATATATACGCAGTACCTTTATATATTTGACACTGTTTACTGTACACAATACATTGAATGACTTTTTTCGAATGTCAGTATACATATAGTCATAGTTTATCAATTACCGATTTTTATCGATTTACCCTCAACTTACATTGTATCAATTATACCATACGAAAATTGTTAGTACATTGGCTGACACCATACACTGTGTGCATGTCTATTTTATCGATTCGAATATGAATATACATATTATATTGTTCTGATAAATACAATGCATTGTATTCAAAATGTAACTATTGTCACATTGTACAAACAAACCGTATGTAACTGCGTAGAATGAACCGTTTTACGCTGTGTGCTTACCAAATACATCACATACGGTAAACTTATTAGAATAATTAGACATAACGTAACTAGAACATCAGCTCGTCAATACTCACAGTTTCGATGGACCGAGACGGGTGGTTAGTGTGTTGGTTGTCTGTTATATAAAAATATGAAACGAAACTAAACCCTGATGGTTTCTTCAGCAACAACAGCAGACATGATAATATAACGTGACGTTGCAGTGGAGGCTGCAGATCTAAACCTTCGTCTATATTTAAATCGATGACGTATTTATTCGCAGAAAACCGATGTAGCCGCTAGGCTAAGGGCAAACAGTTTCACAGGGCTTCCCCCTACCGAGGGATAATAGTTTTGACTGTTCCCAAAATAACCATGAAACAATTGTTTTATTACCAAATAAATATTAGTATCAATGCTGCATGCAATGTTACCATTGCTTCAACACTGAGTCACGGTCACCGAAACGCTTGAACGGGGCTCTCGAGGGGGGATTTCTGCGCATCGAATTCGCGCCGGGTAACAGTTCGCTCCGACCGGGAAAGCAGTTTTGACTGTTTCACCCCTACAGCCGAAATTGGACAAAAGGCCAGAAACATATAGACTATTGGGTAATAAAGTACACTGTACCTATATATATTTAACACTGTACACTGTACCTATATATATTTGACACAGTACACTGTACCTATATATATTTGACACAGTACACTACCTATAATAATTTGACACAGTACACTGTACCTATATATATTTGACAATATACACTGTACCTATATGTATTTGACACTATACACTATACCTATATATATTTAACACTATACACTGTACCTATATATATTTGACACAGTACACTGTATCTATATATATTTGACACTGTACATATATATATTTAACACTTTACACTGAACTTAGACTTGTTAATATATTTGACACTACACACTGCCCCTATATATATATATTAGACCCGTGGACAGTACCTATATATATATATTTGACACTGTACACTGTACCTATTAGATTTGACACTGTACACTGTACCTATATATATTTGCCACTGTACACTGTACGTATATGTATTTGACACTGTACAATGTACGTATATATATTTGACATAGTACACTGTACTTCTGTATGTATTTGACACCGTGCATTGTACTTCTGTATGTATTTGACACCGTGCATTGTGCCTATATATATATTTGACACAGTACACTGTACCTATATATATTTGACACCGTACACAGTACCTGTATATATATATGACACAGTACACTGTACCTATATATATTTGACACTGTACAGTGTTAAATATATATAAGTAAAGTGTACTGTGTCAAATATATATATAGGCACAATGCACGGTGTCAAATACATACAGAAGTACAGTGTACTATGTCAAATATATATACGTACATTGTACAGTGCCAAATACATATACGTACAGTGTACAGTGTCAAATATATATATGTACAGTGTACAGTGTCAAATATATATAGATACAGTGTACTGTGTCAAATATATATAGGTACAGTGTACAGTGTCAAAAATATATAAGTACAGTGTACAGTGTCAAATATATATATAGGTACAGTGTACAGTGTTAAATATATATATATTTAACACTGTACACTGTACCTATATATATATTTGACACTGTACACTGTACCTATATATTTTTGACACTGTACACTGTACCTATATATATTTGACACTGTACACTGTACGTATATATACGTACAGTGTACAGTGTCAAATATATATATGTACAGTGTACAGTGTCAAAAATATATAGGTACAGTGTACTGTGTCAAATATATATATAGGTACAGTGTACAGTGTTAAATATATATAAGTAAAGTGTATAGTGTCAAATATATATATAGGTACAGTGTACAGTGTTAAATATATATATATTTAACACTGTACACTGTACCTATATATATATTTGACACAGTACACTGTACCTATATATTTTTGACACTGTACACTGTATCTATATATATTTGACACTGTACACTGTACGTATATGTATTTGACACTGTACACTGTACATATATATATTTAACACTTTACACTGAACTTAGACTTGTTAATATATTTGACACTACACACTGACCCTATATATATATATATATTAGACACCAAGCACAGTACCTATATATATATATTTGACACTGTACCTATATATATTTGACACAGTACACTGTACCTATATATATTTTACACTGTACATTATACCTATATATATATTTGACACTGTACCTATATATATTTGACACAGTACACTGTACCGATATATATATTTAACACTGTACACCGTACCTATATATATTTGACACCGTAGACAGTAACTATATATATATTTGACACAGTACACTGTACCTATATATATTTGACACTGTACACTGTACCTGTATATATTTGACACTGTACACTGTACCTATATATATTTGACACTATACACTGTACCTATATATATTTGACAATGTACACTCTACCTATATATATTTGACATAGTACACTGTACCTATATATATATTTGACACCGTACATTGTAATTCTGTATGTATTTGACACCGTGCATTGTGCCTATATATATATTTGAGACTGTACACTGTACCTATATATATTTGACACCCTAGACAGTACCTATATATATTTGACACAGTACACTGTACCTATATATATATTTGACACTATACACTTTACTTATATATATTTAACACTGTACACTGTACCTATATATATTTGACACCGTACACTGTACGTATATGTATTTGACACTGTACAATGTACGTATATATATTTGCCATAGTACACTGTACTTCTGTATGTATTTGACACCATGCATTGTACTTCTGTATGTATTTGACACCGTGCATTGTGCCTATATATATATTTGACACAGTACACTGTACCTATATACATTTTACACTGTACACTATACCTATATATATATTTGACACAGTACACTGTACCTATATATATTTGACACAGTACACTGTACCGATATATATATTTAACACTGTACACCGTACCTATATATATTTGACACCGTAGACAGTAACTATATATATATTTGACACAGTACACTGTACCTATATATATTTGACACTGTACACTGTACCTTTATATATTTGACACTGTACACTGTACCTATATATATTTGACACCGTACACAGTACCTGTATATATATATGACACAGTACACTGTACCTATATATATCTGACACTATACACTGTACCTATATATATATTTTACACCGTACATTGTACTTATATATGTATTTGACACTGTACACTGTACCTATATATATGCGACACCGTACATTGTACCTTTATATTTTTGACTCCGTACCTTGTACCTTTATATTTTTGACTCTGTACACTGTACCTATATATATACGCAGTACCTTTATATATTTGACACTGTTTACTGTACACAATACATTGAATGACTTTTTTCGAATGTCAGTATACATATAGTCATAGTTTATCAATTACCGATTTTTATCGATTTACCCTCAACTTACATTGTATCAATTATACCATACGAAAATTGTTAGTACATTCGCTGACACCATACACTGTTTGCATGTCTATTTTATCGATTCGAATATGAATATACATATTATATTGTTCTGATAAATACAATGCATTGTATTCAAAATGTAACTATTGTCACATTGTACAAACAAACCGTATGTAACTGCGTAGAATGAACCGTTTTACGCTGTGTGCTTACCAAATACATCACATACGGTAAACTTATTAGAATAATTAGACACAACGTAACTAGAACATCAACTCGTCAATACTCACAGTTTCGATGGACCGAGACGGGTGGTTAGTGTGTTGGTTATCTGCTATATAAAAATATGAAACGAAACTAAACCCTGATGGTTTCTTCAGCAACAACAGCAGACATAATAATATAACGTGATGTTGCAGTGGAGGCTGCAGATATAAACCTTCGTCTATATTTAAATCGATGACGTATTTATTCGCAGAAAACCGATGTAGGGATAGGACTTTCGTTTCTGAAAGAATATGATTTCTCGCATACAAATCCCCGAATTATCCAGTTTTGCTATAAAGGTAACCGTGTGCTTAGGTGTTAATAAGATGAAACAAAGACCAATATAGTTAAGGGAGCTACATGCAGGGTAACATACACAAAAAAGAGGTAGGGTAACATTAACAGTGATATGAGGTAGGGTAACATTAACAGTAATAGGAGGTAGGGTGACATTAACAGTGATACGAGATAGGGTAACATTAACAGTGATAGAAGGTAGGGTAACATTAACAGTGATAGGAGGTAGGGTGACATTAACAGTGATAGGAGATAGGGTAACATTAACAGTGATGGGAGGTAGGGTAACATTAACATTGATAGGGGGTAGGGTAACATTAACAGTGATAAGAGGTAGGGTAACATTAAGAGTGATAGGAGGTAGGGTAACATTAACAGTAAATGATAGAGGCGGGTAAGATAAACAGTGATAGGAGGTAGGGTAACATTAACAGTGATAGGAGGTAGGGTAACATTAACACTGATAGGGGGTAGGGTAGCATTAACACTGATAGGAGGTAGAGTAACATCAACAGTGATAGGAGGTAGGGTGACTTTAATATTGATAGAAGGTAGGGTAACATTAACAGTGATAGGAGGTAGGGTGATATTAACACTGATAGGAGATAGGGTAACGTTAACACTGATAGGGGGTAGGGTAGCATTAACACTGATAGGAGGTAGAGTAACATTAACAGTGATAGGAGGTAGGGTGACATTAACAGTGATAGGAGGTAGGGTGACATTAACACTGATAGGAGATAGGGTAACATTAACACTGATAGGGGGTAGGGTAGCATTAACACTGATAGGAGGTAGGGTAACATTCACACTGATAAGAGGTAGGGTAACATTAACAGTGATAGGAGTTAGGGTAACATTATCAGTGATAGGAGGTAGGGTAAAATTAACATTGATAGGGGGTAGGGTAACATTAACATTGATAGGGGGTAGGGTAACATAACAGTGATAGGAGGTAGGGTAACATTAACATTGATAGGAGGTAGGGTAACATTAACAGTGATAGGAGGTAGGGTAACATAACAGTGATAGGAGGTAGGTTAACATTAACAGTGATAGGAGGTAGGGTAACATTAACAGTGATAGGGGGTAGGGTAACATTAACATTGATAGGGGGTAGGGTGACATTAACAGTGATAGGAGGTAGGGTAACATTAACAGTGATAGGAGGTAGGGGAACATTAACAGTGATAGGGGGTAGGGTAACATTAACATTGATAGGGGGTTGGGGGCAGGGAACCAGGTATAATGGTAGGGTAACATTAACATTGATAGGGGGTAGGGTAACATTAACAGTGATAGGAGGTAGGGTAACATTAACAGTGATAGGGGGTAGGGTAACATTAACAGTGATAGGAGGTAGGGTAACATAACAGTGATAGGAGGTAGGGTAACATAACAGTGATAGGAGGTAGGGTAACATAACAGTGATATGAGTAAATAGAACAGTAACGCAAAGTAAGGTAACATATATATATAGTTGCGAGAACCGTAACTTCTAGGCCCGATCTTTATTTTTGTTGTTGTTATCGGTAATAAAAAAAAATCGGGCCTAGAAGATCAGTCATATACAGTACTGTGAAAAGGAGGATTACTCGGAAACATGACTTCCCAGAACATGTGTGTGTACTTGACATACGAGCGACGGTGTATTAACTCACGCTACACAATCTGTACATAGTCACAGAAACCTATTTTTAGACAGCTGAATTTCCGGAAAAGCTTTTCCTAGACCAGACAACTCCAATGTTGTGTATATCAACGAGTATATCTGAATACCTATAATCAGAATCACCTTTCTAAAACGAGCTAATTATAAACACTTGCTGATAAACGTTCTACCTTACGTTCTATCTATTTATAGTATACATGTACAAATGTACATAATTTTAAAGCAGAGATTATATTTTTCTGAATATCACGTTTTATAAAGCAGAGTTACATACGACTGTTCTAGACCTGGTATGTTTCGATCTATCCTGAGTTGTGGAAAGTAAAATTTGCCATTTTTAAAAGTATATATCATCGCCAAGTAAAAATAAAAGCGACCTACCCCTATGAAGTGGTACTGTCAGTGGGAATGGTATGATCTTCATACAGATTATTAAGTACAATGTAGTATGCATGATAAACGCTCCCAATCATAGGATATTATGCTTATTTACATGTACATGTATGTTTTTATTAAAAAAAATAGATATTGACGTGCACGTATCGGATACAGTGCTCACAACAAACAAAGGTTGAGGGATGGCACACGGTTAATGCAGTTACTTACATATACATAATACTATTATTGTTTTAAGTCAAAAAGCAGGGAGGTGTCACGAACGCAGTCCAAACGATTGAGTGCAAATCTGCTGCAAATGACACATATTTAGCCGGACCCTTTATGTGACTGATATTTATGCAGAAATGACATCATAATCCTTTGTCAGGGAAAAATGGGAAAAAACCACGCGGTAACTTATCGTGCAAAAATCAATATTGCTGCATGTATCTGAATAAAACAGAACCGTTTGATTTGTTAAGTTTTCGTTGATTATGAACAATAGAGGGGAAAACGGTAACATGTACAAAATGTGACGTTGGGTAACATGTGCAATAAAGGGCGGAAGGTAAAGGGTACGGTTGCGGGTTATTGAGGGCAGGGAACCATGTACAGTTACGGGTTATTGAGGAGGGGTACCATGTAAGGTTACCGGTTATTGAGGGCAGGGGATCATGTACAGTTACCGGTTATTGAGGAGGGGTACCATGTAAGGTTACAGGTTATTGAGGGCAGGGGATCATGTACAGTTACAGGTTATTGAGGGCAGGGAACCAGGTACAGTTACGGGTTATTGAGGGCAGGGAACCATGTACAGTTACGGGTTATTGGGGGCAGGGAACCAGGTATAATGTACAGTTATGGGTTATTGAGGAGGGGAACCATGTAAGGTTACAGGGTATTGAGGGCAGGGGAGCATGTACAGTTACGGGTTAGTGAGGAGGGGTACCATGTAAGGGTACAGGTTATTGAGGGCAGGGGATCATGTACAGTTACCGGTTATTGAGGGCAGGGAACCATGTATAATGTACAGTTATGGGTTATTAAGGGCAAGAAAACATGTTAAGTACATAAGGTAGGTACAGTAAATGCCATAACGTAGCTTCAGACGAGGAGAATTTTTTGTATATTTTGCGTCGGCCGGGGCAGGGGAGGTTATATATTGTTATATTAGTACTAGGGGCTCGAGGTAGCTATATCTAGGGTGATCAATACAGTAAAGGTGAAATGGCGTAGTATGTACAGTAAAGGGAGGTAGACATCTGTTCTGTGTGTGTACTCGTACGTGCCGTATGATGACTAACGCTGTACAATCAGTGCATATTCACAGTAACCTATTTTTAGACAGCAGAATTTCCGGAATATGCCACCGTTTAAGCTTTTCGTGGAACATAAAATCAATAACCCGTCGGTTTACTAAGTATTATTAACAATGCGTGAACGTTCATACTGTACATGTAGATATCTGACTCGAGCTAAATGTCAGGTAGTGATACATGTGTACATCTGAATATTAATACCCAAAAATAGCATACTGAAACCAGAGATAAACAAGACAGATAGCAAGTCGGAATGAATGCAACATCAAATCATGTAGTTGACGTGTACGTTATGAATGATACGTGGTACTGGTATACCCACCCTGCTGGCTACACTGGTGTCTGTTCGGAATATCTTTCTCGATTAATACAGCTCTCGGAAGTTCCGAGAAACGTTACTAAGCTTTTCGTGGAACAAACGGGGAAAGACTTGTCTGCGTCACGGAACGATAACCCACTTTATCCTATATACACATATATATTCATAGAAACTCTATTAGAAACAGAAAAGTAAACACAACATTAAGTTGAGATTATTACGATTTCCGCAAAGCCATTATCGCTTCTCTCACTAAAATAAACATTTCCCCGAAAATAAATTTGGGGAAATGAGGGGTTTTATTCTACTTCAAAATAATGCAAAGATTCCTTTTTTAGAATATCATTTTATCTCAAAGAGTATTATACGCCGAGTTAAATTAAGCTTAATGGAAAGCTGGCCCTTGGGCTTTTGAAAAATAATCAACAAAAACAAACCAAGAAGAGAAATAACCACGATATGATAATAGCCCAAAGGTATGATATCATCGAATAAATGATACATCATTATACTCAAATAAAGAAAAACTTATTTTATTTCCAATGGAATACAATTTCATGTTTGGAAACTTTCACTACAAAGTAATTGCAATAACGCTATTCCTTCTATTCATTTTCTCATCAGAAAAGTTCTATTTTAGTTGTTAAGCATTTATACCGCATGATCGTGTATTCCTGAAGACCAAAGTCCATATATAGATCAAGTAGAATTTACGTACGTCATAGCTACGTCATCCTAGTGATGCTGACACGTCGTGTATGTTCAGGTAGATGTACACAGCATTATCATTTCTTTTAAATATTTACCGACAGAATTGTCACAGTTAGGAAACACTCAGCACATTGATAGGAGGATAAAAAGTACACATTTAACGTTAGTCTTCAATACACAAATCTATTTTACGAAAAAAAGGAACAACTAAACATGACCAAGTGGTTTGTAGTACTAGTTTCTAAGCATTTGACTCAAATGTGTAAACAAACTAGACTGAAATATTCAATATCCTCAGATTTTTGTCAAACGCTACCTATTAGAGTAAAACATTGTAGTTATTTCAAAATTAAAAAAGGGGAAATGTGCAAACAGTTGTTTACATGTACGTTAACACACGTGGGTCACGTGCTTATAAACTACAACAAATCGCTTGATCATTTTTAATGATTCAATGCCTATTTTGTTTCTCGTTACATAGCTTTGTGCACTGAAGACTATTTTGAAATGTTTAATTTATCAATATCCATGTATTGTTTATCAATATGTGTTGATTGTTTCTTATACGTGGACATTCTGTTTTTTTGTAGCTTTCTTGTTGGAGATAAACAAAGACATTAATAATAAGTCGTATCTTTTTAATATACACGACGTGTCGGTATCATTAGGATACTGTGGTCATGTCTAACTTCAATTCTACTTGATCTGTGTAAGGGTAGTCTAGGAATAAACGAAAACGAGGTATGAATGATTATTTTAGTTTCAACATTTTTTCATTCAATAATCAACAATATTACAAATACAAATACAAATATGGGATGGGAAAACAAGCTTGGAGCTTATATTAATTCCTTTCCCAAACAAATCAAAAGGCAAATAAATCTTCGGTACTGGAGAACACCTTATTTCAATATGGAATGAATACTAATCAAGTTTTACAGATAACATATATACATGTACATGTGGTGAATAGAATTGATTATAGACATGATTTATGACGCCATAAATTGCTAGTCTACAGATAGAGTGCAGGTCACCTTATTGTACTGAGTACCGGTAAATAAAACAACACAATAAGGTTCCATATTTAAAACAATTGGTACAAAAATATTAGCTTAAACGTTTACTTAGTTTGATATAATTTTGGACTGACAAAAATATTTCCTCATTTTTCTGTTTGGAGAAGATGTAGTGTATTTTGTTTCCAAATTTCTTATGTATAAGTGTTGTTTAAGATTACTACATTTAAGCCTTAATCGTGTATGCAAAATTTGAAGATGTCTACTTCCAATGTTAAAATATTGAGGGGTTATTACTTTATCCTTTCGTAAAATACTTTTAATTATATTAACAGACGGATTTTCACGAATATCTACAGGTAAAGCATTCCATAATTGTACTGAGGAGTTTAAAACCAGTCTTATAAAATTGAGTTCTACATTTAACAGAATGTAAATTGTTTGAATTTCTAGTATTATGCATATGACTATCTGATACTTTACCTGGGATTAAGTTTGAGAGATAGGATGCAGTTTTCTTATGATACATTTTTTGGAACTGTAAGATTTTATGATTTTTCCCGTCTGTCAGATAATTTTCCCCAGCCCACATCTTTATACAATAAACTAACGCTTGACAATTTTGTAGCACCTGTTACTATTCTCGCAGCTTCTATCTGGACGTTTTCTAAATTTTGACATAGTTTGGTCAATTGTCCCAGACAATATCAGAATATTCCAAAATTGGTCTAATATAAGAAAAATATATTGTTTGAAGAGAGTTCCTATCAAGAGTGTTTCTTAAATTTCTTAATACAGCTAGTCTTGGTGATACTGTGTTCGTATGAATGGTTGATAGGGGAAGTAGAATTGTTCACACAAGGATAGAATATATTATTTCTTTTAGTTTTTAATCAATGATGTTTTTTTCACATGATATTTCGTATTTTATAAAACAGTATACCTTAGAGATTCGATGATAGCATGAGTATCTCCCATACTGAAAGCCTATTGTACAATTTATGTCTCTTTAATTTAAATTTTAAAAAAAAACACACAAAAAAAACACCCCGACTTCTAGATTTCCGACAACCAAAAATTTAACTCAGCGTATAAATGGTTTTCAGAAAAAATGTGAAAGATTCGGTTTGCTAAGATATTTCAAAATAGAAGAACAGTCGTACTTTTCATAGTACTACCTAACTGAAATAATAATGTCGGGCGTCAAGCACAGTATTCCAGCCGGCGCCATCACGTCATACTGATAATAGGTTAACCAGTTGTTGCGCGTTTAGCGGGTAATAACATCTACCATTTTTAAGGACTAATGTATGTCCCGGACTGAGGACAGAACCCTGAGCATCCTCACTTGGGTGAACGTTCAGCATTAAAGACGAAAGTGATGTATTGCCAAGCAAGACGCTAGGAGACCAAAAAAAAAAAATTGTTACGAAGTAGAGAAATAATATTAAGGTCCCAAATATCAAGACAAATTTAGGTCGGTTTGTTTTTGTCACCACGTAGATGACATAAAAAAAAGTTTTAAAAATGTATGACGTAAGCATAACACATGCAAGTAGATAAAGAGAATGTAGACATAATAAGCAGGCGTTAAGGCGTTTAATGAGACAACCTACCTTAATCTCAAGCTATGGTAAAACGTATCGCCGATTTTGTCGAAGAGTCTAGATCTACTAGTTTTAACGTATGATAAATGGAAATGTTATGGAAATTACCAAGACATGTATTAAAGAATTTAGAGGAAATACCACCCAATCGATGACGCATTATTTTTTTACTTCCCAGAAAAGTGACTAGTCGGTAAGAATAACTAATTCCTTTGACACGAATTGTGTTGCGAATACTTGTGACCTTAAATTCATTCTTAAGTATGTAATCAATGTTGGAAAATTTAAAAATTGTAAAGATAATTCTTTCAATATCTAATTTTAAACCATCAGTTTTTCACAGAAAGTTTCTATTTCTATTCAAATAACTTTCACTTTAGTCACCCTATAATTGTTGTACTTCAGACGTGGGGCCACAGGTTATACCTACTTTTGATGAAATATCTTCCTGTACCCAGACGACTCTGGTGTAACTTATATTAGCCTAATGCACTAACTACATGTATACCTAATTAATCGGTTTTGTCGATAAATAATACGCTTTATATATACTCAAAACCAGTGGGAATCCACTTTTCTAATCATTTATGTTCAAGTCTGTTTAAAAAAATTATATAAAACAAATGACCGTTATGTATCGGTTATAATTTAGTACATCTCATCAAAGACAACTGTCAGTAATACTAATTTGAAGGCTAATTAAGCCCTTGTCCAGTTCCACACATATGTTTATAACATCATATAATATGTACATGTACATGTATGTAATGAGTTTTAATAGACCAAAACATCCTTGCGTCTCGCTTATGATGAAATTTGAAAAAGAAACACAGACTCATCTTTAGCTTCTAGTCTAGGTGGGGTCAAAAGATATCAAAAAAGTTTCCGCGTACGGTTAATTCATCCAAAATACATTGTTACATCCGAACTGTTAATTGTTGTTGTGGATACTGTGTCAAGGGAGATAACTCGTTGTCCGGTTCTCTGTTAATGTTAAAAGTAGGCCACAAAGTAAAAGTAGCAGAGTGCAGTAGAAATGGCCTGATTCTAAAAATAAAGGGTATGTCTCATGGATAGTGGATTCAACCTGCACAACACCTACATATATGTATATATATTTAGAAACTACAATTTGAATACATTTTGTTCAAAAGACTGAATTTGTTTTCAAAAACTGTTTTTCCCAGATTTGGGAGTTGTGAAAACTATGGTTACCACATCAAAAAACACAAGAAAAAGCAAAATAACATGATTTTTAACCCATAAATTGACCCTTTCAAGTAATAACTTTTTTCTGAAAACCTGTCTGAAATTAAAAATCGCCTTCTCGGTAGTAGAAATACTCACGTTTTGGCATTAGTCATTCCGGTGGATTTTTTCACAATATTTAAACATGTGCTGAGTACAAAAAATAGACTACATGAAAAGCGTAGACACAGATTAGTAAATGTCCAAAACTGTAGTCCCAAACCAATTTTTTTTTTTTTTTAATTATGAAGTCCACATAGTCCACTTCATCATGTACATGCCAATTATAGTGCTGATTTGTTTTCAATTTTGATACCTGTAATTTTACAGGGGTTATTCATTGTATACAAATATCACCCATCGCCAGCGTACGCTACTGTACACTGCAACCAAAACTACGAATACAGATGTACGAAATGTTATGTGTCTACATTATGTCCGTA